AGACAGACAGAGATACATATATCTTCCCCTTTATTCATTTAACTTTGTTGAACTCTTGTCAAAGCAAAGTAAATGATAACAGCCTCATTTCCATGTAATAAACTCATATTTCAGCTTTCTTATCTTCCCACACTTCCCCTCCTGGGACTTTTATAAATACTTCAGCAGTTATTAATGAGTCTGAAATGAGATTTTTTTTTTCCTATCCTCTTCTGCCATTTTTCTTTCCCCCTCCTCCTCGTTCCCTCCCGTCGCTCAGGTCAGCGCTCGTCTCTGCGATCCCATCGCTGGACGGAGCTGATGGGAAAAAAAAAGTTTTCCTAGAAGGCTTTGAGTTCCAGACGGGATTAAGTGTTTTCTCACTTCAACCTTTACACTGTGTTATCTCTCCTTTAATCCGGCTTTCATCAGAGCAGAGAGTAATAACTTTGAATGAGTGATTTTTTTTTGTCTGCAGTATCAGATTTTTATTAGCTGGACTGACGTGGAAGGTCAGATCCCATTAAAACTGTCCCGATGTGAATCTACGTGGAGCGATGTGGGTGAAAGTGCACCGGTGGCTTCGAGCGCACTGGGCTGAGCTACAGCTGGCTGCTTGTGTTGGACGTGCCGGTGTTTGTGAAATAAAAGCTTGTAAGAATGAGAGGAGTCCATTAAGTCTAACACACGAGCTGTCATTATTGGAGGAACAGGGCCTGACGTACGTCCAGAGTCCGCAGATTACAGAGCGCGGATGAAACTGGAGATGTCGGGATGAGAGACAGAAGTCGCTGGATTTAGGAAGTAAGGAGAGGAGAGGGGGGATCGTCGGATGTTTCAGATCTTTCTAATTAGACCAAATTGCTTCCGAATGTTGTCAGGATGTTGGATGGCTCTCTAGTCCGAACCTGCTGCCTCTTGCTCTCACACATGTACGACATACAGATGTTCATGCTCTGACACACATGCTAACCTCTGGACAGATGCTGTTCAAACTTATGCAAACAAAACCCAGAGCACACGCTAAGGCGGTGGAGCAGGTACGTTTTTTTTTTTAGTCACTGTTGTTCTTTAGCTGTGATTCTTGTTCCAACCTTTTGTTTGGCTGCAGCTCGGACAGATGCTGCCTTTTCCTTCAGGCTCGTGTGTGTGTGTGTGTGTGTGTGTGTGTGTGTGTTCACAGACAAGTATGTGCATTCTTGTGTGTCAGAGACAGACAAGAGTGGGCCAGTGTTTGAGAAAGAATGTGTACGCATGTATATTTAATTTAGCACACATGCACACGCTGCTGAACTTGGCTGCCCAGAGTGATGCTGGACGATCCGAGCGTGGGAGAGTCCATTCACTCTCCTCGATGGGACGAAATCAAAGACGGGAGGCTGGAAGAGCGATGATAGCTTTTATTTATTTATTTTGGTCACATTTTTTTTCTCCCTTTTTAATGTTTTCCTCTCTTCTGCTTCTTTGTCCTTTTTAAACACTTTGATTTTAAAGGATTAGCCCATAAACTTTTTGTGTTGTTGCTGTTTCTCACGAATCCCATTTTTCCTTCATTAACCCACAGAGGGGTTTTAGAGGCATCCTATATTTTAAAAATCAACAAAATTACACCATTTGCTAGATCCAGAAACTGTAAAAACAGAAAAATTCAGTGGATTGTTTACTATCCCACAGTCCTTGAATGAATCATATGTGACATGTGGTGCCTTCAGGAAAATTAACCAAATCTAAGCTTAAAATCACAATATTTCGTCAACTTTATTCTACATGTCTCATTTGAAAATGTGCCAATTATTAACCATTTCCATTAACCGGATTTAGTGAAAAACAAAAAATTTTGTGCTTCTCCTTGAAACCATGACGCCTTTAATGACTCCACTGCAACCAACAATCATGTGACTAAAATTCTGAGACTTTTCGGTTGAACTGCAGCCAGTGTTTACATAGAAAGGAGAAGAGACAAACCAATTAGAAATCTATTCTGGCATTATAATTTAGTCAAAATGCACAAACAATATTTCTTTCCTTCTATCATGGTTGTGCTGTTTCCATAGAGGTGCAGGATTTTGTATTGTAGTGAAAGATGAGCCCACAGTGAGTAAAAATGGAGCAGGACAGGAGCAAAAAAGAAAGGTTTTAAAGATAGAAACCTACAATAAATGAGCCAACATGCGCTAACTGTGCATGTGACTTATTCCTCCACATTACTGTGATCCAAAAACCATTAAAAGCACATAATTAAGCCTCTCTGCTGCGCTGAGTGACATATTCCTGCATTACAAACACCGAGACCACTGGTCAGTTCCACCAACACGGCGCATGTTTTAACTGGCAATCCCCAGAAATGGCACCATTTACTTCTGCTTCAGCAACTTTAACTTAAAATAACAGTTATAGTTAGTGTTTGAACTATACATATGTGTTTTAAATTGGGACTTCACTCGTAACAAATGCACTTAAATGGATTTCAGATTAGATTTGTTGCCGCCTCATGCTTTCACTCAGTCTAGTGTGAAATGTGAGTTTGTTGCAGAGTAAACAGGGTTCTTGTGTACAAGTGTGTTGTTTTAGAGAACATGAATAACTGCATGTGGTGTCTAGAAGAAGCGAAGACGGAGGATCAAAGAGCAGCTGACAGACAGACAGACAGACAGAGAGTTAAAGTCGGACAGACAGCGAGACCTAAAGTGGGCAAAGACAAATGAAGACAGATGGATGTGAAGACGAGCTGGCTTCAGCCCCAACCTGCACTCTGCATGCTCAGTTTGACCTACTTTCTTCTCTGCTTCTCTTTTTTTTTTTCCTCCCTCTTTCTCTCACTCTTTGCCCCTTCCTCTGTGATCCCCTTTCATATTGCACGAGGAACTAATAAGGACAATAAGTCTGGAGAACGACTCCCAACAGACTCCAGCGCTGGCTCCTATCTTTCCATCTCACTCCGTCCTTCAGCGTTTCTTTCTCTCTCCACATCTCACCGGCGCAGCCTTGGCCAGCCAACCATGCAGCTCTCCTTTCATCTGCACTGTGACAATCTAACAATCTCCTCTTTTTTTTTTCCTTTTTTTCTGTTTAATGAAGGCTATATTAAGTTTGGCGCCACTGCAGAGAACTTAATAAGGGTTTGTCCCTCAAGGGAAGCCATCATTAGGCTGTTTGTGATTGAAAGGACGAACATCGTATTGCTGAAATGGTTTCAGCATGAGGTCATTGTGTCTGATTTGTGAAGTGCATTTAACAAGATTATGCCAGTTTCTCTGGCAGGCAGCAGAGCAGCAGAGGAGGCTCCCGCCGCACGTTTGCATGCGATATCCGAACGAGCGTTTGTGTTTCACCGCCGTTACAATCCTGTCTCCGAAGAGAGAGTTTCACACATCTGTCTTACTTTTGTGAGCTGTTTGTGTCACAAGATGTGATCAGGAATGCGTCTTGTGTGAAGAAGTTTGGTTCTTGTAAAGCCACATAAAAATGCATTGTCTCAACAACGACACACAGACGCATTAACCCTTTGAACCCTGGACAGGTTCTGGGTGTTTTCTTTGCTATTATCACACTTTTTTCTGACTCTGGGCTCTTTTTTCACGACAATATAAAGCCCTCGAAAGAGAGAGAACTCAGAAATGTCTTTTTTTGCAATTACGCTGCCATGAATCATACAAAAACATAAAAGAAAGCTGAATTTATTGGATCATTTATGTTACAAAATTTGTAAAAAAACTGGAGCGTACAGCCTTTTTATGAGTCTAGATGTTACCAACCCTGGAAGAAGTGGTGACTCCACATATTGTAGATATATTTTAGATTTTTTAATTTGTTTGCATCCTCTCTGCTCCGTGTAAACACAGCCTGCAGTTCAGTTGAAACATCCCTAAATGTTTGTCACGTGAACCTAGAGCACAACTAAATGGCTCAGTTGCACCGAGGAGGACAGAATTTTTTGCTTCTTACAGAATTTGGATCATAAATATGATTTTTTTAAAGTGATTTTTGAAATGGGAATGTAAAACAAATTCATCTTAATATTGTTTTGGTGTGTAACAGGTATACAAAGCATTTTATTGCACATTACACCATGTATAACTGTGTTTGTGACCAACAAAGGCCTTGAATCCTTGAATAAAAAGGCCTTGAATCCTTGAATCCTTGAATCCTAAAGTGATTTTGATGAAATATGATGATTTATAGTTTGGCTTTGGTTAAGTTTTCCAACAAAATGACACATTGGTAGAAAGTTAACATACTTTTAAAACCTGCAGGCTGGTTTTGGGCTTCAGAGGGTTAAAACGTTCTGTGAGTGTTTTTGCAGCGTTGGTAGGTGATTGTTATTAATGCAACAGAAGCCTCCAGTGTTAAGGCCACCGTCACCTCCTGGTTAGACCCCTGGAATGTGCGTCAGTATGTCAGTGCGACGGGTTAACACATCACCACATGCATAGCGTTCATTCCAATCCGATTGCTGAGTTCCTGCTGTTGTGCTGTTTAACCTGAGCAGGTTTAATAGGATGACGTCTGAAATCACATGCCTGATCTGTTCCGCTGCTACCAGCTCTCACATTGTTCTTCTTAAGTTCCCGGTAAACTCGGCTACTTGTAAGCGCTCTTCTTCGTAAGTTGGCTTTTGATCCAGAGACTAAACACTTGAGGATGTGTTTAAATGTCCAATGAGTCATCTCTCTGACATCGTCTTCTAATGTGGTGCCAGTTGTTCCCCACATCCAGTCCTGCTTTTGTTGTTAAAAAAAAAAAAACGAGTGAGTGAAATTAGGAATGAAAGAACTGACTCAGAAATTTCTCATTTATGTACTTAATCTGGTTTCGTTTAATGCGGCACCAGATGTTGCTCGAGGAAGTGAATCAGCACTCCGTCATTTAGTCAATCGAACGCTAACGAACTTCTCCCTCCGTCCGCAGACTACAGGACGGGGCCGTGCTTCACCCAGGTGAACAACCAGATGTGCCAGGGCCAGCTCAGCGGCATCGTCTGCACCAAAACCCTCTGCTGCGCCACCATTGGCCGAGCCTGGGGCCACCCCTGCGAGCAGTGTCCCGCCCAGCCGCACCCCTGCAGACGAGGCTTCATCCCCAACATTCGCACCGGAGCCTGCCAAGGTCTGACCTGCTGTACACACACCTGGTGGAGCTTTAGCCGTGATGCAGGAGGACACACACACACATTTATATACTGACATGCGCCACAATAAACACCCCAAACCATCACTTTATCCATCATCATCACAGCTGCAACTCCTGCCCCACAACATCCTCGAACTAGTGTTAACAACTCCGAGGGTGTTTACATGTACACAGTGGGCCGGATACAAGCTTGTGTTTTCCTGTTAAGGTCTTATCCAACGTGCACCGGAGCAGGTTTAGGCGCTGCTGCTGCTGCTGCACAGTCGAGATATGAGTTCATTCCCAGCAAACACAGATTCGGTGCACGTAATGACTGAATGTGAGGGTTTATTGAAACAGAAACCTTTTCCCTGCTGCTTAAAGGCCACTCCAGCACCTTTGCATCTCAATTTCTCTTTGCAGGACGACTGGGAGTCATATTTAGCTTGTAAAAACAGTTGTGTAATGCAAGAGTGACATCATTTGATTTTAGTAATTCTTGTTTTGGCTCATAGACCTCAGATTTTCAACAGAAAGGCAGCGACTACAGACGGAGGATGGATGTGGTTTTTGGAGTTTCGTCCAATTAGAGGCATTTCTCTCAGTGTCTCATTTTTATATCGTTTAAGTACTTTGACCACAAAGCAACTCCAAGGAAACCAGAAAGTGCCGTTAATCCCAGTTGTTTGCAGACAGTTCAAATCAAAACGGTTCCCTTTGTGCCATCGAAAGCAGAAAAATCCCCCCTGATTTGCATAAAGTAGTTTAGACCTCAAATTAATGCAAATTAGGAGCAGGCAACACGACACCCAGTCTGTTTAAATGCACCATGACGCTCCAAAAATGTAACTTACTCTATGGAAAAACGCTGTAAAACCTGGTGCAACTAACTGGTTTTCAACAGCATTTTAGTAGAATTCACCAGAGCACCATGAAAGCAGCGTTACGGAGCTTTTAAGGTTGTAAAAACCAGCGCTCCTTTGTTTTTGACAACATAAACGGCAGCATTATTGTAACTTTTAACGGCGCAAAAAGTGCCGTCGTAATACATCTCATACGAGTGGCATAAAGCGCCTGTTATACCAGCTTTAGACGGTGTAAAAAGTGACATTATGGCAGCTTTAAATGCCCTAAAAAGCAGTGTTTTGGTGGCTTATAAAGCACCATAAAAAGCAGCGTTATGCCAGCTTTAGCCGGCGTACAAAGCGATGCAATGCCAGCTTCTAGTTGTATAAAATGCTGCGCTGGTTTAGGTTTTCTTGATTTAAAAAGTGCTGTTATTATTGCTTTTGACAGTGTAAAAACCTGTGGTCTTTTGGTTTTTGACAACATAAACAGCAGCATTACTCCAGCTTTTGACGGCGTAAAAAGTACCGTCGTAATGCATCTCACACGAGTGGCATAAAGCGCCGTCATACCAGCTTTAGATGGTATAAAAAGTGACATTATGGCAGCTTTAAATGCCCTAAAAAGCAGTGTTTTGGTGGCTTATAAAGCACCATAAAAAGCAGCGTTATGCCAGCTTTAGTCAGCGTAAAAAGCGATGCAATGCCAGCTTTTTGTTGTGTAAAATGCTGCGCTGGTTTAGGTTTTCTTGATACAAAAAGTGCTTATTCCAGCTTTTGAAAAAGCTGTGGTCTTTTGGTTTTGAGTGTAAAAAGCGGCGTCTTTATAAATCTCACCAGAGCACAGTGAAAAGTGGCACTATGTGAGCTTTAGACAGCATAAAAAATGGTGTTACGCCAGCTTTTAGTCGCATAAAACGTATCGCTCCATCAGCTTTTAACAGTGTTAAAAGTGCCGTTATGCCAACTTTTGACAATATAAAAAAAGATTTAGAATTAGAATAAAACTTTATTGATCCCCTCGGTACAAAACCTCAGGGAAATTGCTAAAAAAATAATGATGGTGCTCTTTTGGTTTTTGTAGCGTAAAAAAGCCAAAGTTTACTACATCTTACTAGAGCACCATAAAAGCAGCTTTTGATGCTAAAGAAGCAGCGTGCTTTTGGCTTTTTTTGGTATCACAAGCTTTGTCTTAATACATTTTCTAGAGCGATGTTCTACCATCTATTTACGGCCTTCTGATTTGTTTGCATGCAGACATATTGGAGGTGGGTTTCCTATACGTCTGTAAACACACTATTCATCCTACTTCACTGCTCCTAAACATAGACAGCGCACATATAACAGAATCTAGAGACTAAGAGGTAAATATTAGCGGAGATTCTGCCTCTTTGATCAACATTCCTGCTGCTGGTGTCCCAGAACCCCCTCGGACCGGACCAGACTCTCCGCATGCTTCTCCAATAACCTGCAGCCGTGACCAGACCAGGCAATAAGCTCGCATCAATACGTGACACATGTGGAGGTCGTGTCCCTTGTTAAATGAGTCCAGCCAGGTCCTTTCCTGCCTCCGTCCAGCTCCTCTCTCCCCGATACTCCCAGTGTCACCCTGGGCAGATTGGGAAAGCTGATGTCTCCATGTCGTCATGTTTTCTTTTTTGTCTGAAGTATTTCTGTGCTGATCTCCACACGACCTGGCAACACTTCAACAGTATCGGCGCCGCAGACACCAGGGTCAGGGGTTTGGCTTTTGAGGATTATAGGAGGCAGGTGTTAGATTCTTATGCAATGTGAAGCTACGTTCAGTGGATTCAGGGTGCTAGAACTTTCAAGCAACATCTCAGAGAAAGGAAGAGTTTTAGTTTTTTAATTATTACACTGACAGGATGCATCTGGAGGCTCTATTTTTGTGCTAGCTGTGATGCAGCTAGGCTCAAGCACAAAGCTATTTCTTTTAGTTATTTTCAAGTCTGTGTGCATCAACTTGTTTAATAGTTTTGTTGCACCAAACTAGTTGTGGTTATCAAGTGACAGAGTGCATCAATGGCACTCATTTTAACATGGAATGGTGTCAGGTACAGTGGTAAAGGTGCAGGTACAGTCCTGTCTGAATCAGCTGCTACTGCTACAACATTAAAACCATCTGCCTGTAGGTCAATTTTTTGTGCTGCCAAAGCAACACTGAACCAGGACATTGGACCTCTGGGAGTTTCCTGTAATGTCTGACACCGGGACATTGGCAACGAAGCCTTTAGGTTCTGCTGGTGATCAACAGATCCCACGGATCACTGCTCAGATTGGAACCCTCTGGCGCACTTTGGACCAATCCTGAGCGGTTAACGTGGTGAGGGCTTGGTCTGCAGCGACGTTTACGTGGGTGTTAGTGACATCCACATGAATGCCATAGACTTTACAAACCATGTGAATGTAGCGACCAACTCTGACAGCCAATGCAGAGGTGTCTTGAAGCGCAATACCACTGAGCGCCACTAGGGGAGTGCTCCAAAAAGCTCTGGCACCCATAGACTCCCATTCAAAAGCCACCTTGAAAATCTAAGACAACACATTTTTTTTCAAAAGTCAATATGATTTTTTATGTTAAAGTTCATCCTTCTGATCAGTGCTCTAGCGACACATCTGCAAATAATTCTATAATTAGATCGAAATGAGGCCTCAAAATGTGTTTAGGGTTCAACTGACACGTGTGGTCAGGAGAAATCTCTAATTCTTTAGAACATAACGGACCTCAAAATCATCCTGCCATTGCTCTGACTTGTTTGTGTTTCGTTAAACCGATCGCAGGCGGAGCTAGACGAAGGATGCAGCTTCGATGTTCCTTCAAAATAGCGACAAGTGGAGTTGTTTTGGTGGAACATTTGCTCATATTGAGACCAGAGCTGTGATTAAAATGGATCTAAATTGTTTGCAAAACTTGTGTGGTAGTTTGCTGCGTGTAGAGAAGAAAACGGTAACACACAGGTAGCGCACATGGAGGACAAAACCACCTGAAATTAGCAGCCAGTGGCAGGATTATACCTGCATTAGACATCTGGTGGGCTCGATTAGAGCCCTGTCTCCTAAATATAGTCACAAAAAAATCCAAGATGGCGACTAGAAACTTTCACATACAGTCCATGCAGAACATTGTAATCAGATGATCAATGTTGCACACTTAGCCTGTTAGTCGTCTTAATGTTGCAGCTCATTCGGTGCATATTTAATAGTCTTTTCATAAAAATTCTGTTTTTTCCAACCCCAGGGGATAGTTTTTAACGAAGTGAACCGGTATTTATTACAATATCGACTATAAATGAATCCGTCCATGAACGAAGACGATTAGGCTCCATAATTAAGGGCTGGAGAACATAGTGCGCGCTGCAATAATTATTTATGTACGGACACCTGGCAAAGACAGACGTGCGTTCTGAGAAAATATTGCTTCCATATGATATAGTAAATCTACAACGCACCCAGCTGTATGTATGAGTCTGTATGTGTTATTTATGAGGGTAACTGAAAAAGGTAATGCATCTGGGATCAGTAACTGATTTGTATTTAGCTTCGCCACTTCCTTTCTGTGTGCTCGAGCTGCTCATATGTTACAGGTATGCCAGCGTGAGGCCGTCGCTCGTGAATCACATCGCTCTTTTCTCGCTTCGCTGTCCGTCTGTTCTCTCTCTGAATAACTGTTTCTGTCTTTTTTCTTCTTCTTCTTCTTCTTCTTCTCTCAAACTCTCATTTTTACTCTCACACACACTAAAGACACCTAATCGCCCGAAGAGCCCCGAGCGACGTCTTGCTGGCAGCAGTACAAAGCACACATGACCATGAATCCAAATTTAAGGATTGCACTCCAAGACTGCACATCAGGATGTTGGCTGGTTCCTGCTTTCTTTCTCTCTTTCAGTCTTTCTCGCCACAGAGAGTTCCTCAAGCACCAGACAGAGCTTTAAGCGGAGCAGTGATTGAATGTTTTCAGATGATTAGAAACAGGCTGTTTATATATATTAATGTGCTGTGATTATGTGGTGTGTGTGCACGCAGCTGTGCAGGTGTTTCTGAGGGCATAGCTGCATATTCACATTGCACTGTAAAAGATGAACTGTATTTAGCAGTATTTTTAAAAAACAATTTACTCTCAATTTTACCCAATTAGTTAAATTACAGACAATATTTACATGTTTACTGTAGTCAAACAGGCTGAAACCGTGAACAGTCATTAAGAATTTGCATTTTTACAAATAATAATTTGTGTAATTTAGTGTTG